TGTAATAAATATTATCAAATAATATTAACATATTTGTCCAGTGTTATTGATATAATTCGTTGCTTAATCATATTAATCATAGATGTAGATTTGCAATCCCATTAAAAGTGAATAAAGCAATTATAGAGGTCATTTTTTTGTTTATTTATGACTTCCTATAATGAGTTACGAATACGAATTATTGCTTATTGCACGTTCTCGCCAGTATAATTATTAATGATTATTATAATATTTATAGTGTTTATAAGAATGGCATGTTTAGCTTGTGATGTAAGTAAACTCGTGTATGACTGGAATTAAAGTACTTTACTAGTACTAAAATAACGTAAATTCTAAAATAACGCAAAGGTATCGGATAATATTACTTGCCGATTACACGTTCCTGAATCTTTGTAAATCTTGACTAATTTTGTGCTTCGTGTCGCTTTTAAGCAATATTATTATATACGTTAATTTTTAAGTTTTATCATACAGCTGTCGTTTAATCAATATTTCCCTCCGCGTTCACTTTTCATTGCTGAACATAAGTACAAATTTAACTTGACAAATAATCGTAAAATAGCCCCGACATTCTCAAAATCATCTTGCAAATTATATGACCGACATTTGCCATTATATGCCAACGCTATCGCTACTACTTTCACACATGGATATTAGCATCGGAGTTAGTAATAATTCTGGACCAGATATTTTATAGCAGAAAATGTACGAAGTGTAAAGAAGTCGCTGACATACATAAGTTTTTTTTTTTTGTATAATGTTTGGCAATGATAATGAACTAATATTAGCGACACAGCGAATAAAATAAAACAGGAACGATTACATTTAATATTTATGATAAATTTCATATTCATTATTCCTTTCTTTATAATACGAATATTCCTCCTTTTTAAATTCATTTTTATAAAGCTCTTCTCGTCTATTTAATAAATGAATTTATTGAGTTCCTTCGTGTCTATACTGGAACAATGATATTAATTTATTGCGATATTATATGCGATGATTATTTAATATTTTATTTGAAAATACCACTTTCGAAAATTTCTGGAAGAGCTGCTTTATTTTTAAATCACACGTAAGAAGATCTACCGTTTCTATTAACAAAAAGGCGAATATTTAGCGAGTCTTAGCAGAAAATTAATTTTAATGTACAACAAATATTTCAAATTTTATGTATAGAATCTCGATAATAACCATCCGCAGTAAAAAGGTACAATTTCTTTTAAAAGCAAAGTATAATAGATATGATTAATTCTCGTTGTAGCTTTTATTTTATTATTTGTTTATTGCAAGTTAAAGATGTTCCATTTTAAAAAATGATAAGAGTGTAAAACTCTCGTTGTACTCATAACAAGAATGCCCTTTCCGTTAAAGTAACGAGCCGCGATAATAACGGGACTGTACAAACGTTCTTTACCCGTTAATAGCAAAATCGCTCGTCACGGCCAAGAGCCAAAAAGTTGGAATTGACGAATCGATAGATCTTCTAGCCATGAAGATATCGAGCCGCGCACTCCGCAATCGCCGAATCGCGTGCGAGTGAAATCTTTCGTCGGACGTACGACCTTCGGTAGCCTTCGCCGAGGTTAACACAATGAGGTCCGCATCTTCGATTTTCGCACGAGGCTGTAAATCAGCGGTGACGGCAGCTCGGCTCGACTTGCGATTTTTCCAATCCGAGCTCATTATCGGCACATGGATTTCCCCTGTTGTCGGGTTTCTTGCTTCGCGAAGAACCTCCAGGATAACCAAAATATAGCTCTGAAGTTCAAGAATGGGCGGATCTATCCGACGGTGGATACTTTTTATGCGCCGTTCTATGAAATACTAAGTCATGGTAAGTTTGAGCGCGTAAGCTCCTCCACCATTAAACAATAACGATCAAGCTGAGTTTGGTCATATAAAGCTAACTGTCAACTCGCGTACAATAATATTAAGTTAAATTAAATGTAATATTTATTCCGCTTTTTTACTGTTTTAGCATCTATAACAATGGATCTACAGGAACTGTAATATTTACGTACATCTGCATTTTTCGTCCGTCTCAAGAATTTTTTACAACTGTACTTTATACGGAACCGGAATTTCGCATAAAGTAGCAAAAATAAATCAATATGAATGGCTTAGCGAAGAAAATTATCCTGCCCATTTAACAATACCCTTCTAATATTTGGATAAATAATTATATGGATAAATTACTAATTGCAGTAATAGCACTGTACAGTCAAATAATAGTGGATCGAGCCGAGAAAGAAAGGTCGCGCGATCCTGGCATCCCGACTGAGAGCCATGAGCCGCGAATTTTAAGCCTCCGATGTGCACCTGCGGCACTTGGGCTCTTCGGTCCCAAACTCATTAGGCCGAACGAGTCCTAATTTCGAGAATTTCGATAATTTCGAGCACTCCGTGTACCCTCGTCTCATATATTCGATTAAACGATAGCCGATGAGTCGAAATGGTAAATGAACCGACTTGTCATCCCATTGATTATTTTCGTTACCACAGCTTGTGCGCGCTATTTTTAGAAATTTGCGTGTCCTGGCTGTTATTGCACTGTTATTGTTTCCAAGTGTGCTGCCGACTCTGTGGCGGTGGACACTCGTGTCGTGCATTCATAAATATGCAAGCCGTGCACACGCTATTATGTGTTTTCATGTTGAAACAAAAGGGGAACAATATGTGAAAGTAATGCGTCTTAAAAATTAATTAAATGTCCCAAAGAAAGTGCAGTTCGATGAAATGCGATAAAATGAGATTTAGCACCTAGGAAATTAAATATAATCGTTTCTGCGAAATCCAAAGTCTCTCTACCAGCAACAATTTGTATAGTATAATTATAATTGTATAGTATAACTTTAACTTGTTTGCTATTTACACTCAAAAATTGCTTTAAGGCCTTTATAAGAGGATTAGTATAGTTTTAAACAATATCCGTATCCTTCTCCGTTCTTTCTCCCAAATCTGTAATTTTCATATTACATTTTAATTTGTAGTTTTCCAAATAAATTTATTTTCGTTTCATTAATCACAAGTTCGTATGCTTGCATGAGTGTACGTAGAGTACAAGGTTACGCGCGCGCGCGCGCGCGCGCGCGCGCGTGTGTGTGTGTGTGTGTGTGTAATTAGATTGTGGAAAGCAAGTGTAAACCTGCAAGTGTGTGCGCGTGCGCGTGTGTGTGTGTGGACACGAGGATATATTTCCACACTTTTGCACGTGTACGTCAGTACACGTGTGCAATGTAATTACTCTTTTACAATTAACGTGTGATGCAGCTTCCAGAAAATTCGTGATATATACCTTATTGGTCCACGTGTGCGTACATCCGCGGAAATCGATAGAAAATGATCCTATTTAATTAAACTGCTGGAGATGGACATGACAAACTTGAAAAACCGAGCTCAATCTCTAACTACACCCCAGACAGTCTTTTTACTATTTTCAAATTAAATGAATAGCGGTTTTTCTTCTCCCTTCCTCTTTTTTTTCGCATACATCAAGAGAAAAAATGTTAGGTAAATTGCCTTTTTCTATAACATGGAGATCTGAACAAGAATGTCACGATCGCTTTATAGATAATGCTGAAGTACAAAGATCATGAGTGAAAATAATTAATTTTCTAATATAGTATCCAATCACATTTTTAATGATAATTACATTTTTTTTTTTTTTTTTTTTATAATACTATATACGCATATTACCCAAAATAATGTAATTATAATGTAAAATGTATTATCGTAATAAATCATTAATAAAAATTAGGTAACATTTTCCATTATTTTGATAATTTATAATAAATTTAATATGTAAAATTTTATATTACATATTAACAATTTATATATTATATAAAATTTAATTAATAAACCACGTTGGATAAAAATATCGCTCATCAACTTATTCCATCGCATATAAATATGTAAATATTTTTATACTACCTTAAGCTAAATAGTATTCTTTTCTTCGGTTTTATCTCGTATAAATTTTAAGTACTTAAAGTAGCTAAAAATTAGATAAATAAATAATAAAGAAAATAAAAACGAATAAATTGCTAACCACGTGTTAAGTAAATCAATTAAATTTGTTAAACTCGTTTCTTCTTATGAAAATAATGTAAATCAACATGAACAAATTGAAAATAAAAAAGCGAATGCATGTGCTTTACACAACTACATGTGTGAGCAAAATAAGAGTTTTAAATAATACGCATGGAATTTTCCATTTTTTCAGAACTCAACACTCAATTTACTTACTGTATATTTTTCAGTTTTAAATAACACCATAACATTTATAACGATCAAGGGATCAAAAGAGATAACAAAATATTGAATTTTAGAAACAATGTAATAATTTTTAATAATTTAATGAACAAATTAATTACCACTTATTGTACAGGACTCAAATTTTTTATGAATGATATCTTTTCTTGTAAATTAAATACAAGCAATTAATTTTTAAAGTCATTAATATAAGCAATTAATTATTATTCCGTTAAATGATCATAATAAAGAACTCTTAATTTATAGGATGGATTTTATAAAAACAATATTAGTTACAAAACTATTTATTCTACAAAGTTTTCTTTGACTACAAATAAGCTACTTGTGCAAACGAAATTATTATTTTATTATATAATCCATGATTATTGATATAAGCAGTTTCATATAAATATTATTTTACAATAATGCAAAAATTAATTAACTCTGATAATATGTTTATAAGCTGAAAGATATTGAATTAATTACAATAGTCGGCAATGCTTACATCTATTTACAATCTTGGTTAATACATTTTTGCTGCACTGGCAACGTGTCTATGTCTAAATATTATGAAACGTTAATTTTAATAGAAAATTTTTTATTAAAAATTTTTTATTACTGTAAAACTACTAGTCAATATTTAACATAAAAGAACATCAATGATCTTAAAAAAAGGATTTTTTTTTTTTTTTTTATAATATCTTTTTAATAAAGTAAATTAATAAAATCTACTACCAAGTAATTCACTATTTTTTGGAACTATCTTTCTGTTTTGTCTTTTCTGTTTCGTTGATTGTGAATGCACTGGTAATGCCAACTTTCTGTAATTCGTTAGCAAGTTCTCCATTTTGATGCATTTGTAACACAATGTCGCAACCTCCAACAAATTCACCATTGATATATACTTGGGGTATAGTGGGCCAATTAGAATAATTTTTTATACCTAAATCGTGAACAATGTAATGATTAAAAAATTTTATTTTTCGTGTATTTCACAACTATGAGTTATATAAAATATAATAAATTTCTTATTGATTATTCATCAATTGCAAGGATTTCGATCATGCCTATCCAACAACGATTCAAACAGCAATGCAATAATAAATAAAGAAGCAAACAAAAATCTTTACCCTTCATAATTTGTTTATAATGAATATTGTTTATATTAACAAGTTAAAAATTACCCTGTCTTAGGTCTTCATCTTTAAGTACATCATGTGCATCGTATTTGACTCCATGCATTCTCAAAATTTGTACAACGGCATTACTAAAGCCACACCTTGGCTCCTCTGGAATGCCTTTCATAAATATTACGACTTTATTTTTCTATAATGAAATCACATTGATTATTTTATTAATTATCTAAATAATTCATCGATTACCGGTCCCGCTATTATTTACTCACATTAACTAATCCTTTTATTTCATCTGCTTTTGTACTGAGTTGTCGGAAAAACATCGAAACTCTTGAAATTTGAGTAGCAAACATTTTTATTTGAATTTTATTTGATAAAGTTTCAAGAAAAAATATTACAGTAATGTACTCATTGATCAGCTGTTTTGTGGTTATGCGATATCACGAACACAACATCTTCACGGTCCTACAGGCAAACCTACATGCGCATGTTCGTGTAGGTTGATATGGGAATGTGAGTTCCGGTACGCAAATTGATGCGCCACCACTTGGCGGTTTATTAAAGTAATGAACACAGTTCTGGTAAGGTATAAGACAATATTCTATATTGCTCTCTTCGCCTTTATGGCAAGATCATCTGATTTTATTGATGTATCGCTTGATAAGTAGAAATTTGCTTTTCTTCTTCTTATATACCTCTCCTTGACTATTTTGGTACTTCCTGTTATTGATAAGCCACTCCTACAACGATTATTACGTCAGTAAGTAGATAAATTTGTGCACGGCTCGGTATCTTCACGGCTAGAAGATCTATCGATTCGTCAATTCCAACTTTTTGGCTCTTGGCCGTGACGAGCGATTTTGCTATTAACGGGTAAAGAACGTTTGTACAGTCCCGTTATTATCGCGGCTCGTTACTTTAACGGAAAGGGCATTCTTGTTATGAGTACAACGAGAGTTTTACACTCTTATCATTTTTTAAAATGGAACATCTTTAACTTGCAATAAACAAATAATAAAATAAAAGCTACAACGAGAATTAATCATATCTATTATACTTTGCTTTTAAAAGAAATTGTACCTTTTTACTGTTTATTGTTACTGTTTATTCTACATTACAATTTGCTAAGCATTAAATAAACGTGTTGCTTAAAAATATATACTTATCTCGAGAAACTTTTAATAGCTTGACTACGTTCTTTAATCTAATATAGATTTATAAAATATGTTAAGATGTAGTGATTATAAAAAAAAAAAAAAAAAAAAAAAAAAAAAAAAAAAAATCCTATCATATCTATTCAATTTTTTTCAAAAATTAAAATATAGAGTTCATTAATAAAATCTCGGCTTTAATTATGATATATATATATATATATATATATATATAGAATGCCGTATATATTTACAATATATAATCAGCTGTACAATTAAATTTATTGCAATTAACGAAGACTCGTTTATAAATATTCATGCATCAATTTCTTAACAAACAGGTCAACTAACTATACATTTAATAAATCAGTTAACGTAAGTTCAACGGATATGTTTATTATGCCACTGCAGACTGATTTCTTTACAAGTTTAGCAATATTTATGTTTAATCATTTTTTTTTTATATTACTAATTTATGTTCCATTACCTTTAACATTAGATTTAATTTTTTATATCATAATTGCATGTGAATTACTCACACACATAAGTTCATTATATAGTTAAAAATGTTTATAACTGCATGTTATATAAGAATTATTAAAATATTATTCACGAAATTTGTGTAGAATGTGGAACGACAACACATAAATGACTGTAAACAAAGTTTAATCCATCAACTTCAATGTCACGTTTAATTTTCCATCTCTTTGTTCTTTCTAATTGAGTTCTAAATTTATTATTAAATTTCTAAATATCCACACCTATAGTAAATCATCCTTTTTCAGAACATATAAATTTAATGTCTATAAATTGTTTATATAATTCATTAAATAATACAGCTATTCGGATACAATTTACTACCACAAGGCAGTAAAAAATAAATTTTATCTACTGTTCAATAATATTACGAATAATTTTTCAAAAATTAATATACTGTTTGAAGTAATACATTATAGTGACCGACTTCGATAGTTCTTGATATTGAAAATAATTATTAACATTTTTTTTTAATTAACATAAAATATCAAATATTTTCTTATTTAATATAACGGAAATGACTACTTATAAAGTAAACCAATTTACAAATAAAATTTAGTCTTTCGTATTCAACTGATGGTTAAAAATTATGGTTGAAAAAAAGAGGCAAATTATTTAAACTGTGAACTATCTAATTTAAAAATTAATTATTTGCTGGTACAATAAAACTTAAAAAATCTTCATCATAATTGTGTAAGGAAACAATTGAAAAGTTATATGTAAAAAAGATTTATTAAACATTATTAAAAAGCATCGTGCACAAAATTAAATTATAATCATTTATAAAATTACCGATAATCTCATTATTTGAATACACTTTTAATTTATGCAAAAAGTTAGAATATAAATATAACATAAAATGAACTATAATTTAAAATAAACTTAAAATGAAATATAAAATTATATAATCTAATAGTATCGCATTAATTATTTAACATGTTTTTATTGTCTCTTTTATTTGCTAAAGAAAGTATATTTGCTTTTTACTATTTATATTATATATATGTATATATATATATATATATATTAAAAATTTATAAATTTGTTATTACCTTTACATACAAATAGCGATATTGCATTTTTATGACTAAATACATCATATTTGAAATGTTAAAAATAATAAAAATTTAAATATTTCGATTAAGTTGATTTTTATGTAATGTCTATTTTCAACGTACATCTTCAAATAAAACTATGAATTTAAAATTTTAATTATCTCTAAAATGCAAAATAAGATATTTTTATAATAAATGCTTTTGACATTTACGACACTATACCTACGTGCATACACGTACAATTATGAATATAAAAAATTCTTGAAAATAAAAACAAATTTTTTTAATTTGTATACAGGCAACATTTTATTTGTAAAGAATTCTTTTTATTTATTAAAGGAATCAGATAGTTTATGCTATAATTAAGTGTACTGCGTGTACGTAATAGCTATTTCGTAATAAACTAAATAAATATTATGCTAGTGTAGTAAAAAAAAAAAATTAGTTCTACAAAGCTTCTGTGTGTCAATGCAAAAACTTGCATAAAAATTTACAGTAGATTGATTTCATATGCTTAAATTATTCAATTGTTGAACTATATTAATATAACAATCATTCTTAAATGGCACATTCTCATATGTTTATTGTAACGTTTTTTCTTACATTGACATTAATAATATATTGATCGACATATCTTGTGATATTAACAATATTCCCTCCCTAACTAACATTTTACAATTTACAAGGCCGGTTAGCGATGCCTAGGATGAGTGATTTAGATCACAGTTTAATAATTATTATTTAAATTTAATTTTCTCTTCATTTTCATGAATTTTCAATTAATGGCGCCATGACTTGTATAATTATAAATTATAATTTTAATTCGGTTAAGAATTCAACTTATTGCCTTACAAAAATATCTTTAATTTTAATTCATATTTCATTGATACATCGAAATAAACAAATGCTAAAACATACACCAAGTTTAACAAATTTTCTGCATTTTATTTTGCTCGTAAAATGTTTATATGCAGAGAATTTTCCAAAAAGTCATGAAACCTGAACTTTTAACATTTGAAAGTTAAAAAAGTTTTACTCGAACACATCCGAACTAAGTCGAAACTATTCATAGTAAATCATACATTAAAAACTTTAATTTTAATTCAAAATTCATATACATTATAGATGCAAAATCATAATCTGAATTATAAATGTAATTATTGGAGTAAGTATGGAATTTTGTTGGAATGCATGCAGAAAATATTGAATCGAACTGACATTAAGAAAGCAAAATTTAATTCTAATGTGCTTTAAGAAAATAAATATAATTCAATATAAAAAGTCTTCTTAAGCCTAAGGACAATGATCGGGGAAGCGGGGAATAGATGAAACTACATATTGATTTCCAACATTCAAAATTCAAATGAAAATTACAAAAAGTTAAAAAGGCAAAGGCACTCTATAATAATAATAATTACAAAATATTAATCGAAATAATAATGCGCAAAGAGACTTCATTCACAACTTCAATTTTAATATTACTATATGTTAAGAATTAACTAAAAAGAGACCACGAGATGTTAAGTGGGAGAAATGTGCGGGCAAGTGGAAGGGATAATGTAGTAAATTCAATATTGAACACATTTGTTTCTTATGTTTTTCAATCCATTAATTTCCAAATACAGGAATGATTCTTGTCGCTGAATTCAATTGATGACTCTTGCATTCTGTGACAGTTGACACTTGGCGTTAGCATGCACTTTGACCAGAAGTAGGAGGTTGTAAGTTTCCGTATCCTCTTGACGTAGGGCACTGGAGCTATTCCCAGGGAAGTGATAGGTTGTAAAGCTCTTACCAATTTTTCGAACAGAGCCGCGTGATGTTTCTGCGATGAGTGCTGAATGGCACAAAGATTGGCTTGTCGACGGGTGCTTTGTACGTGTGGGCCAATAGTGAGGTGATTCTCCTTAAATACAGACAGTAGAATTAATTAAGATAATTTTTCTGAGTCTTTGGACTCAGCTGAGGGAGCTTCCTTTCCTTTCTTCCTCTTTCCTTGAACATGAATGTTTGAATATCGTGGTTGTCCCTTTTAAATACACTTCACTGACCATTTGTTAATTTGGGATTCCTTCCTTTTTTTTGTGTCCAATCAGAGAGCTTCGGACTCATAGAGCGAGGGCAGCGCCTCTCGTGGCATCGCCTTCAATCACGAAGCTCAGTCTTCTTTTGATTTTCACGCCAAGAAGAGCTCTCGATCTCATTGCCCTCGACGCTCCTCTGGCGGTCGCATTACAGGCATCCCAACAGGGGGGTACATACCGTTAGATTTTAGAATTTGGAATAGCGATTCTTTCCAGCTGCCTAATGAATTGGGTTTTCCCCGAGTCTAACGACTTGTTTTGCCAGATGTTTTATGGCATAGGAAAAGGTTCTCGCAATCTCGAAGGCTATATCCTCTTATAGCATTTATTTTCTTCCTCTAATTAGTATGAGACTGAAAAGAAAATTCTCGTATCGATGATAAAATTCAAGATACATTGAAAAAAAACTATGTTGATACAACTCGATCATTATTACATTTAAATGCTTAAATAATTTAATAAAACGTGCTCATCTGAGAACGAAAACTGGTCACTAATCCTAATCTTATCAAAGAAATCAATCGATTTCTCTTATTCAATATATAATAATATTCAATCTTATAAAAATAAATACTTTCTACTCAAATATTTCATAATTAAATTACATAAATGATATTGATTAACGAATGTCGATGAAATTTGATGAAAAAATAAGAGTTTATAGTTGATAGATAGAATGTAATGATGAAAGAACATTGAGGAGGGATATGATACACAGAGGAAGAGGATGATGAAAAGTATTCGATGCTTCTACGAAAACCTTTTCACAATAATTGTTACGCAGAGTCAAAATAAGACTGAAATTTGATGGAACAAAAATCCCATGTATACAGACGTATAAAAAAACCATATATGTCATTATATTAAAATACTTCTTTAGATTATTCTTGATTACCGAAGAGTTTTTTTATTACCATTTATTTAAAATCTTATTTCTGTACAATTTTGAATCGCAATCATGAAACTGATAATCTGAATAATCTTTATCCGTATTGTCGGGTTTTAAAACACTAAAGTGATATGCTTCAATTAAACAAACTTCTTCGTACAGATCTTCCGTGGTCATTTCAATAATATTAGCACATTCATTTAACAACCACAAAAAGTTCCGAGGCAATTCTTTTTCAAATAAGTCGAAATTTTTTCCTTTAACTCGGCTAAAAATACAGTGATACATCCAATAGTTTTTATATGGTCTAAATAATATTTCGGAATCATTTATGAAAGAATTGTGAGCTTGATTACCAATATTTCCATCATTGCTGTCAGAATCAGATAAATTAACATTATCTAATGGAACTTCAAATGCTTTATTATCAAACATCATTTTATTAATATTTTTACACCCCTTCTTTTTAATATGAGTTTCAAATGTAACATCGTCGACATCTAATTCATCAAAATCGTTATTTACATTCTCTTCAATTTGTTTATTCTTGTTCTTCTTATTAACGTCCTGGTGCCTTTTAGGTAATACTTTTACGAACTTACCACCCGTGTTTCGGGACGGAACGTACTTTTCTTTTACTTTTTTAACATTTGATAACGATTCTATTTCATGATTATATAATTTAATATTGCATTTTTCAAAGAACTCTTTATTTAACACACATCTATTATCTGTATAATTAGCATCCTTTGTATTTACTTTATTTAAATTATTTTCCTCTTCAGAATCACTATTATTTTGAATATCAAGTCTTCCATCTGGTAAAAGTTGATCAAATAAACCATCTTCCTCCACATCTGATGTTTCATCTGAATCTAAACGTTTACCAGAAACTAATGAGTAATACTTGAAACTTTTTAAATTGACTTTTAATTTACAAGGACGATTTCTATGCGAATAATCTAATAAATTATCACTTTTATTTACAATTTGATTCTTATTTACATGTTTAGGATGTTCCACTTTAACAAGCTTACACAATTCTTCTGGAGTTGGCATTCGTGGTTGCTCGAATGGGGGAACAATTTTTTCTAAATAATGTAAACTACAATCTACAACTTTAAGTTTTATTCCACATTGAGAAGCTAATTCAATAAGTCTGAAAATCAACACAAAGTTTGGTATTATTGTCTTGTTTTTTTTTTTTTTTTTTTTTTTTTTTTTTTTATTAAATATTGATTATTCAATTATCCTGATTATTGAGCAGTTCGATAACATAAAATTTTTGTTTTACTATTAATTGCAAAAAGAAAAATTCTACAATATTTAACAATAAAATTAATTTAATCACTAACAAAAATTTAATAATAATTAACGTAAACATAAACAGTAAAAAGAATGAATTTATCGATAAAATAAATTAATGATAATTAACTTACGAATTTGGCTTCGTCATATACCCAACTTTAGTCTCATAAAATTTCATTTTTAATATATTTGGAATTTCATAGTATGGATTTTTTATGAGTTGAGCTGTATATGACTGTAATGGTGTAAAAGAAGGAGAAAATAGTTCCATCTCTTTAAGGGGTATTAAATTATCGTTAAGTTTATCGATGCACTTATTTAATGCATCAGATAAATTTTGCAATACAGAATATTTACAATTTGCTTCTGATACATTAGTTTCTCGCTTAGACCTCATTAAGCTCATGAATCTCATATACAAATGTGAGGTTCCAACACATTCAGGATCGTACTTCATTTTAGATGGAAAATGCACGTTTATCAATATATTTTTTCGACACTCGATATATTTCTGCCATTCACAAAAATTAAATAATTTTCCTGTCAATATTTCCTTATCACTAGCTACCCTATCGTTTTATAAATAAATACAAATTATAATAATATTAATTTTTAATTATGTGTATGCATATATAATGTCGAATTTAAACAAATTTATAATTTTTAAAATCTCTTGATATTTTATTATAACAAATCAATATATCTATAATGTTTAATATCACATAATAAAATTAATAAAAATAATATAAAATAAACCACTTGAATATAATAATAAAGTTCTCTTCCATTAAATATTTTTTTAAAAATACTTTTCTTACCTATTAATTTTTTCTACTACTCGACTTATTTCTGTTTCTGTAATATCGTCTAGACCAAATAGAGTTTTTAAAACTACTACGATATAAGCCATTGCTCTGCCTTCGTAATTAGGAATTAATGAAGATTTTGATGTGAATTTCATGATTGAGGGTGATGAGAGAAATAGCCTTTCTGCGTACAATAAAATACCTTCTGAAAATCAAAAAACAATAAAGCAATTTATATCAACATAAATATAACATCAATCTGTATTGTGGTATTTGTTGTATGGATTATATTTGAAAGTACAATATTCTTACTTGGTAATTCAAGATCCTCACAAAATCTTCTAATTAAAGTGATAAAATCAGGATCAGCAAGTTCATAAACGTTTAAAAATTTTGCTACTCTCGTAGCAGTTCTTCTTACACCTTTGTGTGTTATATCTGTAGTTTGCGTCAAAAGAGTAACGTCACATTTTTCTAATATTACTTCCGATGGAATTAAATGGTCCAAATTATAATAAGACAGATGGCTTTCTCTACAAAATCTACGAATAAATTTTAATTACTATTTTTATATTATGTATAATAAATTATTTAAAAACATACAATAAAGGCTTACCTTATCAAATCAGATATATAAATATTTATATTATCAGCTCTTAGAGCTAAATAAAGAATTGACAAGAGCTTCAATGGGGTAAGTACATCTGGACCAGTTGCATACTGAGTCGTCACATGTTTTTTACAATAGTTTACTCGTTTTGCACGTGGAAGTTTCTTCGACAGTACTTTCAATTTCTTAGCTTCTAGTCTTGCTTTTTTATTAAAACGTATTCTAAAAGCAAATACTTGTTTATAATATGCTTATGCATATATCGGATAAACATTGTAATATAATAATTTTTTTAGATACCTATAAGTGTTGTTGTTTGATTGAGTAAGATTAGACTGTAAACTATTTAAACTTTGACTTAGAGAACTAACTCCATCATTATCAGAATTAGCTTGACTCTGCAAGTATTTTTTGTACTCTGATGCGACTAAAAGTTTCTATCCCAATTTAATGTTCACAAATTTTAATATAAATCATTGAATGATACAGTCATTATCTGAATCAAATGCTAACTTACTTTGCTTCTATTTAATTCTCTAGTTGAATCACTTCTATTGGTAACAAAACTAGACATTATTGATAAACTTTTACTACTTGTTTTACTGCTCTGATTCTTTTCCCTCTTCTTTTTTTTTTGTTCAATCTTGCCATAAATAATTTCTGCGTCTCTATAATGAAATAAAATTGCTATTTGTATTAAATTAATTGTAAAAGCAATTAATAAAGCTTATTACCTTTTATGATATCGACGAGCCATTTTTGGAATACACTTTTTACTTTTTGATGTAAACGCAACTTCTAATTTAGTTAAATAGAATGACCACAATTGTAAAACCGTTAATTTTATACTTGGATCTGCGCCAATTTGAATAAGCTGATTTGTTAATCCTATCAATACAAAATTATAAAGTTCCCAGCTTGTCCATCCGATAATCTCTAAAAAGTATTTGTAACATTTAACAAATATGGCTAAGCTCTTTATTATTTTAAAAATTAAACAATTTTAAATCTTAAAATATGATTACCAGTTTTATCTGATTTTTTTGATTTTATCTTAATTTTTCGTAATTTTGTTGTGAGATCATAACGTCCGTCAAAAACTTCTTCTCTCACATCCTGAAAATATAATTAGCAAATTATATTATTTTAAAATGACAATTTTATTAATTCATTTTAAAATTATGTCTTATTACTTACCTCATTTTGCGTTTGACACGTACTGCAAAAATAATATCCATCTTCTTTATAAAAATTTGTACTGTTGCACAAAGCACAAATCTGTGTATTTGCATCCTGCGAAAGCATTGTATAAAATTTAAGGATAATACAATCAATAATTATTTTTATATTTCTCCATATTATCCACGTGGTGACTGTTGTGCATAATATAACCTAACGTGACATACCTAATCTAACCTGGCGTATCGTAATGTAACTGAAAACCAGGAAAACCGGATTTAAAGTAAACTAATATCAATTAGTATGAGAGTTAAGCATTAATGTTTGAACAAAAACTGTAAAGTTTGTTGAACTTCAGGATATTCATGAAACTAAGTAATAGTCACGCACAAAGCATTTAAAAGCAAAAATATGATGCTTTTTTTATCTGTAAGAACTGAAAATGAGATTCTTTCATACAAAATATTATCCAAGTATTTTTACGTTACTTATTAATTATCTACCAAAATCAAAGCTAACCTCAAATATAATTACAAACTGTCGCACACAAAAGTTAATAAAATAATTCATTAACAGTTAAAAACAAAATTAAAACGAAGAGTTATGAAATTTGATTATATAATTTAAATGCAAATATGCATACTTAAAAGAAAAATAATCCAATAATACAAAGAACGATTTTTTCAAAAATTAACCACATTAGACTTGTACTATTAACAAATGAGAAATTATAATATTCTTATTACAGTATCACAATACCTTTTTCATAACAATATATGGTAACGAATTCGATTATATTATCCAAACTTATATACAACATAGACAAAAATACCAATAATTATTAAAATAACTCTTATTAGAAATAATTTTAAACTTATATAGAAATATAATATTAAAGTAAATATGATTATTTTAATAGTTTCTTATTAATTATATAAGCATATAAAAAATAAGCAAAAATGATAAAAGTATTAATAAATAAATTGGTAATGAATAATATGAAAAGAAACAATTTTTCATTATAAAAATATAAAAACTCTCAATTTCTTATCTAATCTAAATAATTATTAAATAATTTAATAAAATAAGTGAACTTTGGTGTAATTATGTATTTAATCCACAAGATAATTTAACAAATCTGCTAAATATTATGAAATATCAATTGGAAAGAAAAATTTTATAATTCAATAAATAATAATAATAATAAACTAAACAAACATAACAATTAGTAAATATTTAATGAGTCATTTTAATTTTCAATCCAAAAGGATATATTTATATACTTTATTTACAAACTTTACATTAACTCAAGCCTTAATTACAATTCAACTCTAAATCCAATACTTTAAAATAAAGCAAATAACTGTATTTCTTAAAAAAAATAAAATAATTATATATAACATTAATACACTTTGCCAGTACTTATAAAATAAATAACAAATTAAGAAGAAACTATTGCTACATTTCTATCATACAATAATAAAAAACATCTAACATGTATCGGACAATTCTTAATTATTCATTATAATCGAAGTTAAAATATTATTCTACAAAAACATTTTATGAAATAATCACTTAAGCTATAGCAGTTTTTCCTTGGTAATAATATTCTTAGATGATTGATTGTAGTTAAATAAAATTAACAACAATGTCTAACGTTTGCTGATTATCAAATTAATTCTATTAGCAGTAAAAAAAAAAAAAAAAATTAATAAGATAATAATAAGAAATAATCAATTTTCACATCGATGAATCATTTAAAAGAATCAGAATTACATAAACGTTTTAAATTAAAATTAGATGCTAATGAACGTGAAATAATTCTTTTTAAATTAAAGTTTAAGTAAATTAGTCATTACAAAATTAAAATTAAAATAATTTTAAGACTAATATTAGAAAAAAAGAGCGAGAAAATAGATCAAGTTACGAAAATTATGCAAGAATCAAGCAAAAAAAATATAATGTTCTTTTTATTTTATATCTTTACTCGAATTCAAACATTTAAATAGTACTGAAAAAATTGAAATGTAATAATAACTTTTAGTTTTTAATTTTAAGGAAATATATGAATATTGATAATGAATTGCTCTACAAGACATTGATAATTGATATAACTGTGTCAACAGAATTTGTCTGGCCTATAAAACTATAACAAACTTTTATGAAAGCATAGACTTTAGAAACTATGAATAATTCTGTGATACTTTGACTATAATTTATATTGGAAGAATATTGTGTAAAGCAATACCTTTGCCCTATCTTATCACGATTATCTAAAATATCTAGTCTTGCTGCATAAATCATAAATAATCTTATAGGTTTGAGAACTTTGGTATCAAAGGAAAATATACATTATTTTACTGAAAGAAATTTATTAGTACAAAGAAGTTAAACAATAGTGCTATATATATGTATGAATTTATAAAAGTTAAGCTCTTATTCCAGTATTTCAAAATAAAAATATTGTGTAGTATTAAATTATTTAAAAGAAAAAATAAATTAAATAAATAAATGAAGGAATTCGTTGGTATTTAGTATATTTAAAAGAAAAAATCTTTTGGAATAAATACTATGTGCATGCAATTTTGTTGAATAATTGTATTTTAGCAATCATTATCAGCTTATAAACAAGTATCTTTTATACAAAATTAATGAATTTTATATATAATAAATTCTATAAATAGTAACAACAATGCGCATATATAATAAAATACATTCTTTGATAGTTTATGTAAATGCAAGTGGTTTTAATTGATAACAAAAGAAATTTAAAATCAATGTTTCTTTTTTTTTTTTGAAAAATGTTATTCTCTAAAAATTACATATTTCATCATAATCCTTCATTAATAAATTTTTCTCTCTTGGATAATATATCTGAACAAAAATGATCGATCTATTAAAAAAAACTATAAAAACTACTTTACAATTAATATCACTGTTTCACTTATAAATAACATACCTAAATTATCGTAAGAATAATTAATTTGTTCTGTCTCTTAAAAAATATTTTTACTGTTATGATTCTTGTGTATTTTTGTATCTACTGTTCTCATTGCAGTATTTGCAAGATACGACATAAATTATATTTAATTATTCGTTTTTCAATATCAATATAATTTATTACTAAAAGTAGATTTTACACATCTTAACATAGAAGAGCTTTCTCGTTTATTACATGGATATTAAAATTGAGTAACGACAAAACTTGTAATCAGATTATAGAATTGTTATACTTAAAAATTCAAATAAAACCCAATATCATCATTTAATAAATCAATGTAGACAATAAACATATGATTTTATTGAATTTTTATTAATTTTGAACCATATTTACTTAAAGAATTGATAAAATTTTAATGGATTCTTGCATATTTAAGACTAATTAAAAAAAAAGAAAAGTTTTACAATGTTAATAAGATTCGCACGTTTGTCAATTTAAGAATTTTAGCAATAGACGTAAAAAATTTTTTATTTTAAATTATAATTAAACTTATTCAAATTTATTTGTAATAAAGTGAATTGATGAAAATATGCAATAATTATTCCTGTAAATGCGACCACATATAAAATATATCTCTTTATTTATAATAAATAATGGAACAAGTGTAAATTTCTACAAAATAACAATTACTTAATATTATTTTATGAGTTTATCACAAATATCTTGTATTTCAATTCCCTTACAATTTATATGTACAAAAAAGAAAACATAAATATTATAAAATATTAATACTATTCATAATACGAATGTCGATGAATTAATTTAAAATGATCGTTACTTATTAAATAATATGTATACAAAAAGTATTCAAATGAAAAACTATTGTAAATAAATATGAAATTCATTCAACAGCTGACATTAGACCCATTGAGGACCGACTATCTCTACCTACATGATTCGTACAAAACTGAAAAAGAAAAAACCAATATATTACTAAAGAAATCGTTATATTTGAAATACATATAATCCACTTAACTTACATATATTTTATTGTACCATTAATTTCATTTGCCTAAAAATATGTAAAATAAAATAATTAGAAAAATAGAGTAAATATTTTTTTAATTGTAATATACCGATAATTTGTGTCAGATAGCAAATACAAATTATATAATCATAGCCACTCAGCAATTTTGGTGGTTATTTTTATCATCATTTTTAAATAAGAAATTAAATCTATCTAATAAAATTACAATTACCTTAAATGCATCAGGAGTTTTTTAAATTTTTTTGTTCAAAATAAATAATATAGAATCCTGGCCAATTTGATAATATATTAAAAGTCATGTGTATTAAATTTTGCCCTTCTTGTAATTTATATTTAAAAATCTAAAAATAAAAATTTAGTATATTAATAATTTTTATATACAACTGCTTTGAACATATTTAATATCATTTATCAGATTAGCAAATACAAAATATATAATCATAGCTTTCAGAGATCTTGGTGGTTAATTGTATCATCATTCGATAAATAACAAAATTCTATATATATTTAATTAAAATCTACCTACACTTGATATTGCGCGTAATTTGTTCAAAGTGATATTTACAGCATTATCTGTTAATAGTATTTCAATTATGTCAATTTCTTAGTCTTTTTCAAGATAATACTTCTAGTACGGGATTAAAAGCTTCAAAAGTAAAAATTTTTTCAGCTGTTTAAAATAATTCTAGTTACAGAATTCATTACATTATTGCCAAATGTAGTTTAATTTAAATTAAATAATCTGAAAATCTAAAATATAATTTGTTACAATACTTTATACATTAGATATATTATGTTATTAATAATGTGTGAACAGTTTATAAATATTATTCAAGTTTTTTTTTTCTTTTTTTAAAAAATTTGTTTAAAAATCTTATAAATATTTAAAAGGACACACTGAACTTTCATTAAAAAATCTATTTTAATAAAATTGATATATATTTTTTTTCCCTCATACAAATAACATTACTTACAATGTATGAATGAACATACAATTCGATGAAAAATTCTCAAATCAGACACATAATTGCAGCATGCATGTATTACTAAATTCCTCGCTCTTTGATTTTCTATTATATAATTAATTTTTATTCTTCTTTATTAAAACAAAGCACTTATAAAAAATACTGAAAAATAAAAATACAAATTAGAACATGATTACATATGCGGTTTCATTTTAATGCTAATAATATTTCGTCAGATTAGCAAATACTATGATTAATCATACGACTCATAGATCTTGGTGGTAAATATCATCATTAAAATATTGATTTTAATATCATAATTAAACTTATAGAAAATACTTACACATAAATTAATTTACGGTAATAATAAGATACACAATAAATGAATCTCAATGTTCTATGGCAAAATGAACATCATCGGTAGTTACGTTCAATAATAACCTCTGATGAATATCCATTTTAGAATGGTCGCATAAAAGTAATCTCCAAGAACCCAATCGAGCACATATAGAAAGCGCTTCTGTGATATTAGGTGCTTTTTCTCCTAGAAAGTCAATTATACAAAGCTCTATTTTATAATGTTCATTAATAATTAAATTAAATTTATAAAATATATTGTAAAAGAACATTGCACAAAATAACGTCGAATCAATACTATAAAAGTGAATTAAAATAACAATGAAATTAATCGTGTCACTTTGCTTTATTATTTATGATTTAAAATGGTTAAAATTCTGTCTTCTATGTATTTTCTACATATATTTACTATAAATAATAACTACGTCTACCTTATAATTAGTTTTTTATATTCAGAAGACACTGTATATTTGGCAATCGAGATATAATATATTACTAAATTATGTACTCTTACCATCAAATGTACATAAAGTTTGTAGTTGAAAGTAGACGTATTTAAAGACAACTTCTTCCACTCCAGTACGATGAACTTCTGCACAAACCGCTCTAAGAAATATCTTCTCCATATCCGAACAGTGTTTAATAGCTTGAATTTTTGGACTGGCAATCATTTCGTCGAGTGCTTTTTTAACATCGACCATTGAAACAATTTCGTGTCCATTAGTTTCCGCAACCTCGGTTGATCTACGACAAATATCTAGAGCTCTACGAGCATCTCCAGATACAGCAGCAACTTTTCTATAAATGATAATACAATAGAAAATTAATTTTATAATACATCATCGATATCTGAGCAATATTTTAATCGTTTAAATATATTACCGTGCTATGAGTTGAACAGTCTCACCACTAAAAGCATCGTAACCCTGTAATCTGCACAATACAATTTCTTCGAGCTGTTTATGAGTATAAGGTGGAAATGTTAATCTAGTCAAGCCTAACCGTGACGTTACTCGACCCATTAAAATTCTTTCGGGAAGATCCATTGTATTTGCTATTGTAACTACAACTAACTTAGCACCCGATTTACTTGGCCAATCCAACAGATTATAAACTACATCTTGACGTTTTGTACACAAAAGATCCAACTGTAATAAAATTTGATTGTACTGTAATATTATTATAACAAATTATAAAATTTTAATTCAATTCTAACCTCATCTACGAGCAACAATGTCATGTCTCGTTTAGTCTTAGGCTTGGTGAATCTATTCTGTAATAACTTTTGAGCTGCCTCCCACGTTACAGTTTGCTTTGTTAATTGCTTCCATATTTGTACATATGCTTGGCGTGGTTCGGATAATTTCATACCATTAATATCCACAAACTCAAATTTGGATAGTTTTTCACGATTCATTGCCTTCTTCAAACAGCGTATAACTTCATTCACTGTTGCAGTTTTGCCTGTTCCTGGCACTCCACTTATATAAATACATCTATAAAATATGCATATAACAAAATAAAAAATACAATTTGTTTTCATATTAATTTTAAATGCAATACCCATACCCTCCGCTACCATCTGACAATCTAGCATGTAAATATGTGTATATTTCATTAAATTGTTCTTCTCTGCAAGGTAATGATTTTGGAAGAACACTAACATGAAGTTTAAGCCGTACCTCTTGTAAAGGAGTACTAGGCTTAGATACATTTGTAATTCTTTGATGTACCGAAGGAGATAAAGAATTTTTCAAACTTAACCTTGACAAACGTTTTGTAGGCGTTTCTAAGGAAAGTTGTGCGGCTTTAGTTAAGTTTTTCGATGGTGTTTTCAAAACATTCTTAGTTCTTTTATTTGGAGTAACTGCATTCTCCTTAATAAATTTTTGACGTTTAATGGAATCCAGGTCTTCGTTACTGCTGTCATCTTCAGAATCAGTACTAGTTTCATCTTTATCGTAATCGCTAACTTCATAAATATCACTATCATCTTTATCTTCCGATTCAGAATCACTAAAATATGACATAGTGAATTTTGCAGATCTTGATCTAGTATTTGTTTTATGTAATTTTTCAAAATCATCTTGTAAAACTTTAGAAGCTGATTTATTAAGTGTACTATTATTTTGTGACGGCGTGTCCAATTTTATATTAATTGTTCTTCTACGAAGCGTAGGCTTCGATGATTCGTTTAACTTTAAATCTTCAAAAGCCCTAGTAGGTGTATTCATAGACACTGTTAATACATTTTTATCAGATTTTGACGGTGTTCTTAATTGTGATAAACGTTTTGTTGGGGTACTAATACATTTTTTAACAGATTTTATGTCGCTTTTCGATGGTGTTTTCCACTCTAACTTCTCTCTTGAAGGTGTATCCACAGATTCTTTCAAAGACTTTCTATTGCTTTTTGATGGAGTTCTTAACTGCGATGGACTCTTGGCAGATATTCGATTTGCACTTCTGGTCTTCAAACGTTTTGGAGATAAACTTGTATTTGCATTAAGCATTATATTTTCATCGATTTCATTTTCACTTTCTTCGCTGCTTTCTTCCAAGTCTTCGTACTTACTAGTAGCTTGTACAGATCTTTTTCTAATGTTAGTTTTGATTTCTTTAGTCTCCTTACGGTTTAACAAGCTTCTACTCGACTTCCAACGTCTACTTTGAGATTCCAAGTTAATATTTTTTAGGCACTCCTCTTCATGTTTATCCCATAAATAGTCAATGTTATAATTTACGTTAGTTCTATCTATATTGCTATGTCTCCTTTGAATTTTATTAGCATTTCCTTCGACTCTTGTGGATCTTAAATTCTTCCTACCTATACCTATGTTATGTTCAATAACTTTGTACATAAATTGTCCAGGCAAACGCCTAAATTTTAAAGTAATTGATTGATTATTTTGATTCTTACCAACATTTTTCTGACTACATTCAATAATTTCATCATCCGAAGACTCAAGATCTATAATTATATCATTGGTATTTAATTTTTTTTTATTATGCATTACATCTTTAGAAGATTTTTTATCTGCTATAGATGTATTTAGGTGTAGACTTCGTCTCGTTTTCATTTGCAAATGATCTAAGTTGGTCAACATTTTAAATATAAGAATTACAATGAAACATAAAGTACTGTCAATAATTTATATTGTATATAATTAATAAACGTACTGTTTCGTAAACTTTCGACTTCGTGCTTGTTATCCTTTTTTTTTAAATTTGACGGCGACGAAAGCATTTTCTTTCTTCTATAAAATATTTCTTAGTATTAATATTAATAAATTGTAAAATTTTAGAAATATGTTATATTAAAAGTGGATTTAAAGTTTTAAAGTTTTACAAGACACGTGGCATGAGCAATGCACAATGTGGTTACATTCAAGCAAGTAAAATAAAAAATATTTATATTATATATACATAAAGAATTCTTCAAAAATATATTCGTTAAACTATATAATTTTAAAACAATTAATAAGAATTTAATTAATATTTAATCCTTGTTGTAAATTAGAATTAACTTACCGCCCAGCATTCGCGTACAATGTACATTTTAGCGGGAAACGGAAATGATACTCGTGAAAGGTTTAAGGCAAATAACGACGTGACGTAATCTATAAGTAATACCATAGTCAAGACAAGTAGGAAATGATCTATGAATACGAAAGGAAATCATCATTATTTTCATTATTATTATTAAAAATTAAGTTAATAATGAGTTTCCATCACTTTTAATAATAAATAAAATTTATATGCGTTGTTATTTATATAAGGACATAATATGAAATTTGAAATAAATAAATAATTATCCTCGATTTTTTCATATAGACATAATAAGTAGAATAATGAAAGTAAAATTTATGTAAAAAAATTTATGAAATAATCATTGTCTTCATTTAAACATTTTGATTAACAATAAGTGTGCAATGGTAAGTTTGCTTAGTCGCTTATATACAAGTTTTGATTTTTCCTTTATCTCGAAGATATTCCTAAATTTTGTCCAATTTTATATGTTTAAATGGTTATTAAAAAAAAAAAAAAAAAAAAAAAAGTGAAATAGCAATAAGTATACAAATGGAAAAACTGTTGGAATTTTTGCATTGCACCATTAATTTAAACATGTATAAATTAAACGAATTTAGATGGATCAACATATCCTATCATTATTTTAGCGGAAAGTGGCGAGGTGGGATTTGAAACAGTAGAAACCGATGCAATAAAAATAAAAAATTTGTAATTAAAAAATCAATCAAAACATGATGATATCCCTCCTGTATTTATTTGTAATAAAACCTCGAAAATGTAAATCATCCCCACACGCACGCACGTAACATGTACCTGCAACAGTATTTTGTCAAAGAAAAACTTGTATTCGAATTCCACTCATACACCTTATTGAAAATGTTTAAATGCATTTGCATGTTTATGCTCCACCATTAAAATAAATAATATAATTTCACTATTAATAAACAAATTAAGGCATTTAAATATTATACATATATTAATGATCTAAAAATTTTATGCCACCAGTAAAATAAAATTGTATCGAGAAATCAAGGATATTTTCATTGCTAAAGTTATGTATTCACATGGATTCGGTAAACGATGCTGCTGAATTCATTTACACGCATATAATAAATTAAATTTTATGTGTAATATATGCTAAATACATGCTCAAACGTTGCAATTATGTTTACATAAATTAATTATATAGACATGGTGTGCAATATATTTGTAAAATAGTTTATTTTACAAAATAGAGAGAATATAAATACAGAATATAAAATAGCATTTTTGTTTAATTCTCAGCAATCATAATTTTTGTTTTAATTGTATTAAATCCTGTACTGTCAAAGCAATCAATTGTAATTTATTCACTAACTATGTATATATTTGCATATTATTCATACAAATAATAGCCGAATAAAATAATTATTTAATTAAAAATTATTCAAAACCTACAAGTGGCAATTACACTTAAGTGTGAGTCTTCGTTACCTATACGGAATCATTTATTGTACTAAATAAATATTTTATTTTTTCTAATGAACATTGTAAAAAGGAAGTATTTTATATTTGCAACATTTTTTAACTGAATTAAGAACTACATTTAGAAGGAAATGTATATTTTTTCGAATTTTATGTAAGAAAACTACTCGCTACCTAATTCTGCTCAACTGCGCCGAAGAAATTAGAACTCTTACTAATATAATTAGGTCCGTAAATTTTAAAATTTATCAAATTAAGCGTAGCTACATCGTGGGCATTTTCTCGCTTCAATTTTCCATACATCCATGCAAAGAAGATAATTATTTAAACTTTATCACAAATGTAATATGATGAAGACAATTTTTAAAAAAACTTCGTCATACTTATAAAATTCAATGATACATTATTTAATTTGTCTTACCATCTATATAATTCCATATTAGACTGAAACAACAACAGAATTTTATTGCAAGTCTAATATCGTCAAAATTTATGCCAACATTTAATAGGCAATAGAGACAAATTCATGTATCATCATAGTCAGTCATAATAACAAACCAATCATAAAGAAGAGTGAGGAAGATGGGAAAGGCGAGTCTAACCTCACGAAAACATATTTCATATTATTATTCTAAATTTATGCAGTATTTTCTAGAATATAATGTTATTAATTAAATGTTAATTAGTTCAGGAATAAAGTACGCTTGAGCTAATTAACAAATTAAAATGAGTGATACAGAAGATGATTTTGTTACGTATGGTAATGCACTTGAGCCTTTAGACACAGGTTTGTTTATACATTAAAATATCACAATTTTATATTTAATTGTTTATTATTTACATATAATTACGTATCTGCTATTTAATTGCGAATTTATATCTTATTAAAAGTAAGATTGTTAATTATTAATGTTTGTATAATTTTCTTGCTATAATTTGTATAATCTTCTTCTCAGTTAAGAATATATTTAAGAATATGTAATATTAGAATTATTGTGTAATGCGTCGATCGTATGTCAAAATTAATTAAATTCAAATCTCACAGGCAAACTTATTATCTTACTTATATTTAAAATTTGATTTAAGTAATTTTTAAAATTGATTTGTTATAGAAAATCTACCTCGAAAGAAACCTATAACAATTGAAGAACAATTTGCCTACGACGCACAAGGAAGACGAAGATTCCATGGGGCATTTACGGGTGGTTTCTCTGCAGGATACTTCAACACAGTTGGAACGAGAGATGGTTGGCGACCTCAACAATTTAAATCAACTAGGATTAACAAGGCAGAAAATGTTGTGCAACATCCAGAAGATTTTATGGATGATGAAGATGTTGGAGAATTTGGAATCGCACCGACTGCAATTCGTGCTACTCAAGAGTACAGTAATCAGACAAATAAAGGCACAAAACGAGAACGTTACAAGCACAACAGTAACGAACCAATTCCTGGTACTCCAGTTTTAAAAGAACTTCTTAAACCAATACGGTAAGAAATACCTATAAATACAATAACATTGTGCTACAATTTTTTAATTAAGGTTAACTTAATTTTACGTTAGTTTTAATATAGTTATATTACTAGCAATTATAATAATTTTGAGTATAAACGTAAAATTATAACATTTAATATTTTTGCAGGGAAAGC